GGAGGGGGCTGCTGCCATCACACTGGGGCTGGAGGAGAGGGGGTCCCCCCAGAGTGCTGGGCCTCTAGCCCCAAGATCCACTTTGGCTAATGAAAACATCTAGTTATCCCCACCCACACCCACTAGCGTGGGTGCCAGAAGGAGGGCCAGGGCAGGAGACCCAAGGTATAGGGAGATGAAGCTGTGGGGGTGTCTCTGTGCCCTGAGGAAGTGGGTGCAGGGTGAGCACAGTGGGGGGAAGGTGCTAAAGAGGTCCCTGGAGCACTAAGAGTGGGAGCCGCGCACCCTTCTCCCCTCACCTCTGTGTTGTTTTTGGCAACCTGCCCAGTAGGGCCTTGTTTGAGCTGTTTATTGGCCTCTGGCCTGGGGCCTCAAAGTGAGGTCCAAAGGAGGACAGGTGGGTGGGGTCTGGCTGCGGGTGGGAGCCTCACAGCTGGGCTCCAGGAAGGTTCCCTGTGCCCCAGGAGCAATGTCTGTGGGGGAAGCAGTCCCTTCCCCGAGCCCCCGAAGGGACTTGAGCACAGAGTGGGCGCAGGCAGGGTGACAGGGTCCCGGGACTGTGCCTCCCTTCCCAGGCCTCTGAGAAAATAGGAAAGCTGGTAAAAAAAAAATAAAGGCAATCACAAGGTGACATTTTGCAGACCCTACAGTTCATGAACTATTGTGATCCCCTTAACTCCCTGCCTCTACATCCACTTACAGATAAGGCAACTGACACCCAGAGAGCCCAAGGTCACACAGCCATTGTGCGGGCAGATCAGAGGCCGCCGTGCCCTCTGCCTGTGCTCCCACACTTGGCTGCTCGTCAGAATTACCTAGGACTGTTCTGGACGCGCTCACTCCCTCCTTCCCCCACTCCCTCCCCTGCGCTGTCCCCTCTGGCCAGAGGAAATGGAGTGGGCTGGGGGTGGCCCGCTGAGCTCACATCCTCTGCCCCGGCCTAAATCAGGAGTGACCCTGCCACCCCTCAGCCAGGCCGGGAAAGAAGGTTGTGCTGAAGGGGAAGTGCCTGGAGCCGTGCCCGACCCAGGACCCTCCGCCCTCCCACCGAGGTCCCCAGTCCAGTCGCTGCAAGCCTCTCCCCCACCGCCTTTCCGGCCATTGTTCTGGAGAGAACAGAGCCACCCAGCCTGGCCCGGCCCGCCCCTGTTCCTGTCTCTCCTGTCACATTGTCTTGTCACTCCCGGGAGAGGCTGCACCTCGTGGCCACGCTGCCTGTCCCCGGCTGTCCAGCCGCAGCAGGTGGAGGGACTTTCTGTGTCATCTTCACTGAGGCCCAGAGAGATACCTGCGCCAGTAAGAAGCTGAGCCAGGCACTTCCTGCCTCCGGAGCCCTGTTCTCTGCAAGGCCCTGGATAGTTCTGTGTGACAAGGACTCCCAAGGGTCCGAGGAAGACTGGGAGGCCTGTGCTTGTTCCCACCGGCCCCTCCTCCTCACCTCCGAGTCCCTCCTCGGTTCAGTTATTTGCCTTTGCGGCAGCAGCATAGCTCAGCGCAGCCCTAAATGTAGCTGTCCCCTCCCTCCCCGTCCCACGCTCATCATTTCGGGGTTGGTCCCTCCCAGTTGGAAGGGGGCCCTGTCTTGCTGGGGTATTCAGGGGCCCTCCAGGGCCTGGGGGCAGGCCTGGACCAGCATGCTTGGCACCCCGCCTGCCCGGGGTGAGCCAGCCTCCTCCTGCCCCGCAGGGCTGTGTTCCAGCAGAAGGCAGG